CTCTACTCCCAACAGGTGAAATCTGTAAGCCACGACCTGGAGCAGCTACACCGGCTCTTGCAAGTGGCACGGAGCCTAGTTCGGAACCCACACCTCTGCCTGGGGCCCTATGTCCGCTCCCTGGTAGGCAGTGTCCTCTACTGTGTCCTGGAGCCACTGGCTGCCTCCATCAACCCGCTGAATGACCACTGGACTCTGCGGGATGGAGCTGCCCTCCTGCTCAGTCACATCTTCTGGTAGCTGCTGGGCCAGTGCTGATCAAAGGGCAGGACTGCTGCAGAGCTGAGTGGGTTGGGGTAGGAGATGGGGTGAAACTTCTGGCTTTGAGGCTCTATGTTGAGAGGTCGGGAGTCTCTTCTCTTCGATCTTCCAAGCTGGTGTGCCGTGAACCCGGGGATTCTGCAAATGGGTGACGAACGTGCCAGGGGTTTGGTCCATCAGCCCTCAGGTCCTGGGCCTCTCGGCCCAGACGCCTCTTTCACTCACCCAAGCGTGCCATACAGGTGCTGTTTTCTCTGTGTGCTGGGACTTGAGTACAGCTGGGCAGTGCTGTGCCTCATTCCCCTGACTGAATGTTGCTCCCGCAGGACTCATGGGGACCTTGTAAGTGGCCTCTATCAGCAGATCCTGCTCTCCCTGCAGAAGGTCTTGGCAGATCCTGTGAGGCCTCTCTGCTCTCACTACGGGGCTGTGGTGGGGCTGCACGCCCTTGGCTGGAAGGTGAGGACCCTGGCTTTTCTCGCAGAGCTGTAAGAGCTCCCATTTGTAGTTAGAAAGTCTTTCTTGTCCAAGAACCTGTCATCTCTCTTCATTTTTTTAGGTCTTTCACTGTCTTTCAGGATCCTTTCATAATTTTCCCTGAAGAGAACCTACAAATACTTTATTCAGTTTATTCCTAGATTCTTGCTTTTATTTATTTATTTTTTTTGCGGTATGTGAGCCTCTCACTGCTGCGGCCTCTCCCGTTGCGGAGCACAGGCTCCGGACGCGCAGGCTCAGCGGCCATGGCTCACGGACCCAGCCGCTCCGCGGCATGTGGGATCTTCCCGGACCGGGGCACGAACCCGCGTCCCCTGCATCGGCAGGCGGACTCTCAACCACTGCGCCACCAGGGAAGCCCTCCTGCTATTTTTGATACTGTTGTAATGGTGTCTTCTTTTCATGGTATTAATTTCTTACTGGTGTATAGAAACACAATTGACTTGTGTATGGATTCAGCTACTTTATTAAACTATCATTTTTAACTGTGGATTATGCTGGGTTTTTAAGGTAGATCATATCGTGCAAATAATGACAGCTTTGTCTTTTTTAAACCTTATGCCTTTATATATACTTATTTATTTATTTATTTATTTTTGGGGTACACGGGCCTCTCACTGTTGTGGTCTCTCCCGTTGCGGAGCACAGGCTCCGGACGCGCGGGCTCAGCGGCCATGGCTCACGGGCCTAGCGGCTCCGCGGCATGTGGGATCTTCCTGGACCGGGGCACGAACCCGCGTCCCCTCCATTGGCAGGCGGACTCTCAACCACTGCGCCACCAGGGAAGCCCGCCTTTATTTTTTTGAATTCTCTCTTTTTTTTGCGGGGGTGGGGACACACCACATGGCTTGTGGGATCTTAGTTTCCTGACCAGGGATCGAACCTGGGCCCTTGGCAGTGAAAGTGTGGAGTCCTAACCACTGGGCCACCAGGGAATTCCCAAACCTAATGCCTTTAATTTCTTTTTATTATTTTATTGTTAGGATCACTAATATCATTTTACATATGATGATAATGGGCATCCTTGTCTCATTTCCGATTTTAAAAAAAGGGTTAACAGTAACCTTTCCTATTTAGCCTGATGTTTACTTTGTGTGTTTATAGATAGATACCTTCCTCAGGTTAAGGAAATTTTATTCTTAGTTTTATTATTACTTTATGTTAACTTTTATCAAATGCTCTTTCTGTATCTTTTGAATTGATCCTAAGGTTTTCCTGCTTTTATCTGTTAATGTGATTAATTGTATACATAGTGGTTTTTTGTTTTTTGTTTTTTTTTGTCTGTATCACACAGCTTGTAGGATCTTAGTTCCCCAACCAGGGAATGAACCCCAGCCCCAGCCGTGAAAGCGCTGAGTCCTAACCACTGGATTGCCAGGGAATTCCCTATACAGATTTTCTAATAGTAAACCATCTTTACATTTCTAGGATAAACTCAATTTAGTCATGCTATAGTCTTTTAAAAAATGCAAAACTTTTATTGGAATATAATACATTTTTTATATACTGTTGGCTTTACTAAAATTTTATTATTTTTTAAATTATTATTTATTTTTGTTTGCATTGGGTCTTTGTTGCTGTGCATGGGCTTTCTCTAGTTGCAGCGAGCAGGGGCTACTCTTCGTTTTGGTGCGTGGTCTTCTCATTGCGGTGGCTTCTCTTGTTGTGGAGCACGGGCTCTAGGTGCATGGGCTTCAGTAGTTGTGGCACATGGGCTCAGTAGTTGTGGCTCGTGGGCTCTGGAGCGCAGGCTCAGTAGTTGTGGCGCATGGGCTTAGTTGCTCCACGGCATGTAGGATCTTCCTGGACCAGGGCTCGAACCCATGTCCCCTGCATTGGCAGGCGGGTTCTTAACCAGAGAAGCCCTTTACTAAAATTTAAAATGATTTATCTCTATGAGTGAAATCAATCATTAAGTTTCCTCATGTACTGTCCTTACATGGTTTTAGTATCAGGGTTATACTGGCTTTATGGGATGAGGTAGGGAAGGAGTATTTATTTTTTATACTTTTTATTTTTAAATTAAATTTTATTTTATTGAGACGCTCTTTTCCTTGAGTGTCTGTCGACTGTAAATTCTGGCATGGTGTTTTGTGGTTATATTTTTAACTACTATGGTTACAGAATTATTTGAGCTTTCATATTTTGTTTTTAAAGATCTCTTTATTTCATTTATTTTTGGCTGCGTCGGGTCTTAGTTGTGGCAGGCGGGATCTTTCGTTGCGGCGTGTAGGCTTCTCTCTACTTGTGGCACACGGGTTCCAGAGCGCGTGGGGCTCTAGTTGAGGTGCGTGAGCTCAGTAGTTGTGGCACAGAGGCTTAGTTGCCCCGCAGCATGTGGGATCTTAGTTCCCTGACCAGGGATCAAACCCGCACCCCCTGCATTGTAAGGCAGATTCTGTACCACTGGACCACCAGGGAAGTCCCAAGCTTTCATCTTTCCTTTTTTTTTTTTTTTTTTTTTTTTTTTT